TCGTAGGCCCCTGCCGTGTCCCCCAAGGTCCCTGGGAGAAGTTGGGGTGGATTGCAGCCGAGCCCCCTGGGAGCGTGGCCCCTCCCCTCAAGACCAAAGGCTGCCAAACAGGCCGGGGGGGGGATGCTCCGGGCGGGAAGCCTTCCTGGTCATTAAATTCCAATGGGGATAATGCCCTTAAGGGCTGAGAAGGAGCCCCCCCCCCCAAATAGCCCCTGAGGTGGCCGAGGCTGGGCTGGCAGGGCGGGTCAAATGGTTCCCCTTTCCATTTCCAACCCTGAGGGCTTAATTAATATGTGCTTGATAAACCTCCTACCTTGTCAACGTTTCCTTCGTTTCATGTCCAGCGGGGAAGCCCTCGGCTTGGAGCTGGGCCCCGGGGTCCGGTGTGGCTCCTGGAGGGAGGAGAAAGGGTCAGAATCTGGGCCGGGGGAGGCGGTCCAGCTTCTTGAGGAAGGGGCTTCCTCTTCCTACAGGGACAGGTCCACGTAACAGAATGAGAGTTGGCAGGGACCTTGGAGGTCCTCTAGTCCAACCCCCAAGGGCTGCCCGGTCTCTTCTTCAAAGCCTCCAGCAATGGAGCCCCCACAACCTTTCGCCGTCCTGCCTGTCGGCAAATTCCTCCTCCATTCCAGGTTGCTTCTCTCTCCTCGATGAGCCTCCATCCGTTGCTCCTGGTCCTGCCTTTGGGGGGGAGGTGGACCCCCCCCCTCTTTTTTCTCTGGGGCAGCCCCTCAGATGTGGGAAGGCTGCTCTCGCGTCCCCCCCGGCCCCCGTTCTTCCCTCGCTTTGGCCTCCAGCCCCCCGGTCCCCTTCGGAGTGACGTCCTGGGGTGGCCCCTGAACCCCCAGCTGTTCCTGCCCCTTTGCCCGTGCCTAGAGGACCTCTTGCCTCGACTGCCGCAGCCTGCCCCACACGGGGCTCCCCCTGGGAGTTGCACCTGGTGTGAAACGGGAGGGAGGCTGCCAGGCCGGGGGGGGGGGGGGGGGGGGTGGGTTCCTGGCAGTGGAACATTTGTCCCAGTTGCAGCTGCCAGCCCCCCTCAGCGCCCCAGGAGGGATCAGGGTGGCAGGGCCTTGCGGGGGAGGGGGCGCCTCCCTGGGCAGCTGAGGGCTGGCAGCCCCCCTCCTCCCCGCTCCTCTGCACAGCTTCTCGCTTGTGTCTCCTGCCTAGAGTGCCTGTCGGAGGACTGCCGCTCGGTCATCCAGGAGCAGGCCTGCGCCCTGGGCCTCGCCATGTTTGCCACTCTGGTCAAGCGCTGCACTCGCCTCCTGCAGGACGTCTCCCTAGGTAAGGCGGGGGAGACTTGGGGCTCCTTCGACCCTCAGGCTGCGGACCTGGCCCTTTTCTTCCGGGGGGGGGATGCCCGCCCAGCCCTGGTCCCAAGCAGGGGGGTGCGCGGGGCAGCCGTGGGGAGGAGCCCACCCCAGCAGGCGGGCCCGGGCCGGCCTCTAGCAGGCTCCTTCCGGCTCCCCTCCCCAGGAGCCTCTTCAGGGCCCCAGGACAGAGCCCCCCCCCTTGAGTGGGGCCGGGGTTGAGGGCCGGCCTGGCGCTTGGGCACCATAGGGCAGCCCCTCAGCCCCAGGCAGACTTTGCCGCCTTCCTCTGACTTGCCCTGCTCGAGGTCCACCTGAACGGGGCGGCCTGGGGTGACCGGCATGGCAGGCCCGGCTTCCCGGGTCCATTTTGCCCTTTTGCCCAGCCTGAGCCTCGTCCCCCCCCCCCCCCCCCCCCCCTCCCCCAGCCCGCGCCCCCCCCCCCCCCCCCCCCCCCGCCCTGCTCGAGGGCTCCTGTTTGTCCAAAAACCAGCCCCGTCTCCAACGTTACCACAGCACCTCCAGGCCACGGTTGGTGGGCTGCGGCTCGCTTGGGTCCGCGATAGGAACAGCCCTGGGATGGGCTGCCGGCTCGATTCAGTGCAGGCCGAAAGCGTTTGCATTGCGCCTCCGGCGGGCCTAGGAGGAGCCTGCGAGGAAGCGGCCCCCCCGCCCATGTTCCCCAGCCCGGACGGGTGGCTCCCCCAGAGTGCCTGCGGACAGACAGCCCCAGCGTGCCCAGGGACCCCTGGGCAGAGAGGCCTCACCCCCCCCTCCTCTTTCTGGGCCTGGCGCCTGCAAGGCCGGTGGGGGGGTGGAGAGTTTGCGGGGAGGGCTTGGTTGGTGCTTCTCTCCAGCCCTGCACCCCTGGGTGGGGGGAGCCCAGGACCCTCAGCACCCTCCGCACCGCACCCCACACGGGGCTCACTGCTCAGTCAGGGGCCTGGCCTGCTCAGGGCTCTGGATTGCAGCGTTCACAGACACACACACACACCCCAATGTGAAGGGAGTCCAGTTGGCTTGCTTGCTGATATGCGCGTTGTATGTCTTGGGCTGCCCCAATCTGCATGAATCTGGGCAGAACATAACATAAAACCTGTAAAAAACAAAGGACCCAGGTAGTCCCCGGCTTCCAACGGTTCCTTTAGCGGCCATTCGAAGTGACCTCTACCCTGGAAAGGGCCGTTTCCCACCCCTCCCGAGGCTGCGGGGTCCCTGCGTTGAGCCTCCTCTAAACCCGGAGGGCGCCTGGCAGCTGGCAGGTCGTAAAAAGGGGGCACAGCTCCCTCCACCACCACGGTCTCGCTCAGCCACAGAAATCTGGGTCCGAGGCTGGTCATAAGTCCGGGACTGCCTGCATGGCACCCCAAAAGAAGCCCTACCTGCCCCCCCCATCTCTTCTCACCCAGGCAGGTTGAGGGGCCCATTTCCCAGGTGGGGGAGAGGAGGGGAAACAGGAACCTCAGGTGGGCTTGTTGGGGGGGCGGAGCTTCCTGGGGGGGCCCCGGTGACCCCTTGTGCTGCGCGAGGCCCCCACTCTGACCTGCCCCCCTCCTTCCCGGCAGCGGCTCAAGGCCAGGGGGACCCCGAGGACGATGACATCAAGGTCTCCGCCTTCCCGCCGGACCTGAAGGAGCTGCTGCCCAGCATCAAGGTCTGGTCGGATTGGATGCTGGGGCACCCGGAGACCTGGAACCCCCCGCCCAGCGCCCTGGAGCTGCCCCCGCCGTACGTCGGGTGCCTCACACACAGACCAACCCCCCCCCCCGTGCGTGTCCAGTGGGTGGAGGGGGGGCGCGAGGCCGGAGGGTCCAGTGTGGGGGGTTCAGCTGGACCAGCGAGGGG